GTTTAAATTTTCCTTTTAATGATTTTTAAGATCTAAACACGCCCCCCATGGAAACCAGCCTAGAGTTGATGGGGCTAGCGTGTTCTTCTTTCTGTTAATTTTAAATAAAGTATTACCTACCTACCTACCTACTGTGAATAAGCAGTTCACTGCCTATTATGCAGCTACGAGTCAATATTTCACAAGAAATGATTATGGGGTGGAAGACGGTAAACCTTTTACATGCGATGAAAAGTTCAGACCTGAATCAACAGAGTATACTCAGGAAGATCTATTAATGTGCAACGATTCAATCACCAATATAAAATACGATGATGAATACAAAGTTTGGACTAACTTTTCAATACTCCATAAGAACAAGGTGTACGATTATACTGAGTATCGAGTTCTGAATACAGATAGCATAAAGATTTGTAACTCCACTGATAACAACGTACGGAATATTTGGAAGGATCGCAATAAATGGATAAAGGCGACAATACATCAAAAAAGTTGCAATAAACCCATTAGAGAGTCTTGGTTGTACCGACATTATTACACTGTGAATAAGCAGTTCACTGCCTATTATGCAGCTACGAGTCAATATTTCACAAGAAATGATTATGGGGTGGAAGACGGTAAACCTTTTACATGCGATGAAAAGTTCAGACCTGAATCAACAGAGTATACTCAGGAAGATCTATTAATGTGCAACGATTCAATCACCAATATAAAATACGATGATGAATACAAAGTTTGGACTAACTTTTCAATACTCCATAAGAACAAGGTGTACGATTATACTGAGTATCGAGTTCTGAATACAGATAGCATAAAGATTTGTAACTCCACTGATAACAACGTACGGAATATTTGGAAGGATCGCAATAAATGGATAAAGGCGACAATACATCAAAAAAGTTGCAATAAACCCATTAGAGAGTCTTGGTTGTACCGACATTATTACACTGTGAATAAGCAGTTCACTGCCTATTATGCAGCTACGAGTCAATATTTCACAAGAAATGATTATGGGGTGGAAGACGGTAAACCTTTTACATGCGATGAAAAGTTCAGACCTGAATCAACAGAGTATACTCAGGAAGATCTATTAATGTGCAACGATTCAATCACCAATATAAAATACGATGATGAATACAAAGTTTGGACTAACTTTTCAATACTCCATAAGAACAAGGTGTACGATTATACTGAGTATCGAGTTCTGAATACAGATAGCATAAAGATTTGTAACTCCACTGATAACAACGTACGGAATATTTGGAAGGATCGCAATAAATGGATAAAGGCGACAATACATCAAAAAAGTTGCAATAAACCCATTAGAGAGTCTTGGTTGTACCGACATTATTACACTGTGAATAAGCAGTTCACTGCCTATTATGCAGCTACGAGTCAATATTTCACAAGAAATGATTATGGGGTGGAAGACGGTAAACCTTTTACATGCGATGAAAAGTTCAGACCTGAATCAACAGAGTATACTCAGGAAGATCTATTAATGTGCAACGATTCAATCACCAATATAAAATACGATGATGAATACAAAGTTTGGACTAACTTTTCAATACTCCATAAGAACAAGGTGTACGATTATACTGAGTATCGAGTTCTGAATACAGATAGCATAAAGATTTGTAACTCCACTGATAACTACGTACGGAAGATTTGGAAAATGCGCAATAAATGGGTAAAGGCGACAGTGCATCAAAAAAGTTGCAATAAACCCATTAAAGAATCTTGGCTGAACCGACAGTATTACACTGTGAAAAAGCAGTTCACTGTCTATTACGCAGCTGCGAATCAATATTTCACAAGAAATGACTATGGGGTGCAAGACGGTAAACCTTATGTATGCCAAGAAAAGTTCAGACTCAAATCAACAAAGTATACAAAGGAAGATCTATTAATGTGCAACGATTCAATCCTCAATATAAAATACGATGATGAATACAAAGTTTGGACCGACTTTTCAACTCCATAAGAACAAGGTGTACGATTATACTGAGTATCGAGTTCTGAATACAGATAGCATAAAGATTTGTAACTCCACTGATAACTACGTACGGAAGATTTGGAAAATGCGCAATAAATGGGTAAAGGCGACAGTGCATCAAAAAAGTTGCAATAAACCCATTAAAGAATCTTGGCTGAACCGACAGTATTACACTGTGAAAAAGCAGTTCACTGTCTATTTCGCAGCTGCGAATCAATATTTCACAAGAAATGACTATAGGGTGCAAGACGGTAAACCTTATGTATGCCAAGAAAAGTTCAGACTCGAATCAACAAAGTATACCGAGGAAGATCTATTAATGTGCAACGATTCTAATATCAATATAAAATACGATGATGAATACAAAGTTTGGACCGACTTTTCAATATTCTATAAGAACAAGGTGTACGATTATACTGAGTATCGAGTTCTGAATACCGACTGCATAAAGATTTGTAACTCCACTGATAACTACGTACGGAAGATTTGGAAAATGCGCAATAAATGGGTAAAGGCGACAGTGCATCAAAAAAGTTGCAATAAACCCATTAAAGAATCTTGGCTGAACCGACAGTATTACACTGTGAAAAAGCAGTTCACTGTCTATTTCGCAGCTGCGAATCAATATTTCACAAGAAATGACTATGGGGTGCAAGACGGTAAACCTTATGTATGTCAAGAAAAGTTCAGACTCAAATCAACAAAGTATACAAAGGAAGATCTATTAATGTGCAACGATTCTAATATCAATATAAAATACGATGATGAATACAAAGTTCGCACTGACTTTTCAATACTCTATAAGAACAAGGTGTACGATTATACCGAGTATCGAGTTCTGAATGATGGCATAAAGATTTGTAACTCCACTGATAACTACGTACGGAATATTTGGAAACTACGTAATTACTGGGTAAAGGCGAGAATAGATGAAAAAAGTTGCAATAAACCCATTACATACATTCAGTTCGATCGATGGGAATACACTGTGCTTAAGAATTTTGAAGTTCTGATATTGGCAACAAAGAAGCAGATAACAAAGTACGGTTATGGTGTGTTTGAAGGTAAAATTATAACATGTGGTACCGAATGCGCCAATTTTACCTTTACTATAAAATATGAAGATGAATACAGAGTATGGAACAACTTCTCAATGATGTATCAAGGTCGAGTGTACCCTTATGATGAGTACAGAATAACGCGTGATGGTCTACAAGTTTGTCATTCTTCTGACCGTTTCATTAAAGAAAAATGGCGGAATTACATTGTTTCGGAAAAGATAACGACAGCTTTCAAACATTGTAATGTATCTGTGGACGGTTTTTACTCCAAAAATTACACATTACATACAAACTTTACCGTTTTCTTCAAACCTACAAATCAAAATTTCACAAGGCAAGATTACGGAGTGATTATGGGGTATTTTGCAATTTGTTCGGCAAAGCTTAGGTTGTCCTGCAATGATGATTTGGTGAAAGTGAAGAACACCAATAAATACAATGTTTTTAAAAACTTTTCGCTGGTTTACAACACTAAGGTATATGATTATCGCGAATATCGATTCAGCCAGTACGACAGTCTTGAAATGCGTGCTTCCAATGATTCAAGAGTTCAGGCCATTTGGAGAACGCGAAATTCATGGCAAAAGTCATTACCCGCATCCTGTTATCGTTCTTATAAATTAAATGCAAGATACTACACTGTGACAAATCAGTTTGCTGTGTATTCTGCAGATAATGGTCAATATTTCAAAAGAAATGACTATGCGGTGATAGACGGTAAACCTTATGTATGCGGCAAAGAAAAGTTGAGACCAATTTACGTAATTACAAACTTTAAGATTATTATAGCACCATTATGTGCTTTAACGCTTTCTATTATTTCTTTGCTATTGTTGTTGATAGTTTACTGCATACTTCCAGAACTGCGCACACTTCCTGGTTTGAATTTAATGAGTTTTAGCTTTGCCTTGCTGTTGTGGCAGACTTACCTTGTAGTATTTTTGTCACTGTATTCTCATGTAGGTAAACTGTTTGAGATACCGTGTGCTAGGCTGTTTGTAGCAAATAAGTTTATGACGTATAGCATAATTATGAATGCTGTGGTTAATATCTATCACTTAAGAAAAACCTTTTGTGGCAACACTCTAGTGAAATCTGATGAACTAAAGAAGTGGAACAGATTTTTGAAGTATAGTTTCTTCAGCTGGGGAGTTCCTGTCATTATAACGATTGTTTACATTGTACTAGTAAAGGAAGATGTTCTGAGGTTTGATCAACCTACTGCGTCTGTGAAGAAAGATGTTCAGTCAAGCTTAAAGTTTTATCAACGCACTGAATTTGCGAATGGAGATGCAACGACAAATAATATAGGGATATATCACCGTATTGCATCGTTGAAGAAGAATGTCCTGCAGTCAAAGTTTAGTCAAAGCACTGACATTGTACTTCAAGATGCCCAGTCAAGGTTAAGGTTTAGTCAAAGCACTGTACTTGGGAAGGAAGATGCGACGGAAGATGATGCAAGGACTTGTCAACCTATTATATCTTTGAAGAAAGACGTTCAGGCAAGCTTGAAGTTTTATGAACGCATTGTATTCGCGAATGGAGATGGGAAGGAAGATGATGCAAGGATTTATCAACAGATCTCTGGAGATTGTATCAATGGTCGAATTACTCCCGATTGGTCAGCTGCTGTTGATGTATATGGTCTTCAAGGTTGTGTTTTGCTGTACATTATTGGAATGTTCATCTTCACTGTTTATCGAATTCGCCAAAAACTCAAGGCAAGCAGGAACATTGCACAGAAATCGAATGTTGTTAAGCGTCGTAAATTTGTCATATTGCTCAAGTTGTCAACCACTACAGCCTTAAGTTATTGGTTTCCTCTCTTCATATCTAGAATTGTGGAATTTGATTTCGACATAAAGATAGCACTGTATACTGTAACGTTGCTTACTGGTGCCTACATTGGTATTGCGTTTGTCTTCACACGAAGAAATTATCAGTCGCTCAAGAAAAAATATTTCCCAGCAAACAATAAGCCGCCAGTTAACGAACTTCCGCTGAATAGACTATAGTGTAAGTCGGCTGTATAAGCTAGTGTAAATAAGTAAGCAAGCAAGTTAAGCAGGCAAGCAAGTATTAATGTACGAGTCAAATCCAACCGCGATCAGCCCCCCCCCCCGGGCAACCCGCCCGGGGAATTTGACTTTTGAAAAAATAATTGGTCAAATGCCCGCCCGAACAGGCAGAAACCACAGTCAAATGCCCTGCTATAGGGCTAGTCCTGTTTCTGGAATTTTGACTAAAATTAAATTGAACAAGTATTTCAAGATTAAAAAGAACGAAAAATAGGCCAGACAGTTCTTCTTTTTGTTCAACTGGGCATATTGTATCATATATCATATCTATGATTGATATTTGTGATTCAGAAGCAATTTTCAAACTATCGAAAAGACGCAACATAGAAAACTCGTAAAGCGCTAGAATGTACACATATTTTTAGGGAAAACTGCTGAGCAAGTTGTTGACAAGTGGTCAAATGCCCGGCCAGGCCGTCAAATTCCCGACCGGGCTGTCAAATTCCCGCCTATACGGGGGTAATGTTAAGTCAAATGCCCTGGGGTTGCCCGGGGGGGGGGGCTGATCGCGGTTGGATTTGACTCGTACATAACTATATAAAGCAAACATGTATGTATAGAGTAATATTTAAACAGTAATCATGAACAGTGATTAATTTGAAATCTAGTCTGTGTCATGTACACTACTTGTAAAAAATGCAACGTATTCTATACCCAAAGTGAAAACACTTAAAATATATAATGCTATTAATTTAAAAAGTACGTTATAATGTATACATTGTATTTTAATTTACATGTTTGTAGTAAAGTAAATGCAAAATTTCTATCTTTCTAATTTGGTTTCCATGAAGGGAAGCCCCGGCAGTCTCCACCTTGCCGAAAATCTCAGCAAATTTCCGCAATAAAATGGTCGTCTTCAGAATGTTTTTCAGCGCCAATAAGTTCAGCTCGGTTCGGAATTTTACACAATTCAAAACTTTCGCCAAAAGTCGCCATATTGGAAATTCAGAAATCTCATAAATAGGAGATGTGTAACATTCACGTAAGAATTTCTCTATTTAACTGTGGCAATATTGCGCATGTGCAAGAGTTTGGATTTTGACAAAAAATTTTGTTGATCCGAACCGTAACCCTTGCCCTTATAAATGCCCTATACTTATAAAGCCAGTTTTCCACTACGGTATCGTCTCCGTGGTATAGTAGCATTTTCTTTGAAGTGAAAAACTGGCTTACAAGTTCTAATTCAATTAGCCTTTCTCACTCCGTCATTTCTTGGGTGGCTTTTCAGCCGAAGTCTGCGAGATAAGTCCACATAACAGCGACTTTTTATAATTTTTTGGACGGTTGATATGGGTAAATTTGCTTTGCAAATGGTTAGTTTATTTGGAAAAATTGCTTTTCAATTGTTATATTGTAATTGTCTGCATTGGTTAACTAAGTTAGATGCCACCCAAAAATGGCGGATATTCGTCTTCGTGAGAAAGGCTAATTGTATTGACGTCATCAATATTGAATGCCCGTGAGTTAGTCAAATCGGTTATTCAGTGCAAACACACTAGACAGTTTAAACAACTCTGAATTACTCTAAACTGAAAAGTGTTTTTGCCTACTAGGAACTGATCGCGGCGACTTTTTTCGCTGACCAATCACATTGCCATGATTTGTTTCTTCGCGTGAACAAATTCGCCTAGTGGCCGAAATGAGCTTAAACTAGGGTACCTGCAAGGTAGGGATTGCTGCGGGCATTAAAAACAAATAGAACTACAGTAAACAGCACAAATTATATCAAGCACAGCGATTACTCGCAGCGACCAGGGGTTAAAGACCAGGGGTTAAAGGGCAATCAGAGGTGACATATATTAAACATGTGCGTCTCATTGACATACAGGAAATTAAAGATCAGATTTCATATCAAGTCTGTTTAATGCTAGGCGCATCTACCACATTGTATAGACTATATACACAGATTTATCACATTAAGAAACAAAAACTTGATAAAAATATAGAACTGACAGTGGCCAAAGTCCAAAAACAAATGTAAGCGTAAGTTGCGTAACATTGGACTTGAAACAGCTTTAGAAATTCGGTAAAAATTCGAAGACTCGAGCGAGTTTAAAATTTGTGTTCTGCGCATAGAAAGAGCGCACGACCACAATTCCATGCGCTTAATAAAATTTAGTTCAAAACCCCCTCTCTGCATATATTAGGCTGCTTCTACGCTCGCTCGCTTCAGGCTCGCTCGCTCCGCAGCAATAAGATATCTATGCTAGTAACCCAATTAAGGACTGATGGCATGGAGCAGCCCGGTTTCCTGGGCTGAAATATCAGCTAGCCAGGCCAAAGGATAAAATCCAATTAAAAATGTTACTTTCGTCGTTTATAAATGTTACTTTCTAAAATGTTAGATGGCTTCAATTGAAAAATATAAAAAAATACTTGTAAAACAATGTGTTGTAGTCTGTAATGCTCGTTTTGAAACAGTTGGTTTATTTCGGACGCAACTGCTGGCCTTCGCTTTCACTACTTCGCAAAGCTTGTTCCTACCCCTAGCAAACTGAATTTCAACTGAAGTAACTGTCGGTTAGTTCTAGTTATTCGATGTTTGCACTTTGCAGGTCGGCAATCGGCGAAACGCACTAAATAGTTCTGTCGATTTTTGTTCAACATGGTCATGTGTTCAACATGATCATGTGTTCAACATGATCATGTGTTCAACATGATCATGTGTTCAACATGGTCATGTGTTCAACATGTCATCATGTGTTCAACATGATCATGTGTTCAACACATGGTCATATGATCAGTTCAACATGATCGTGTTCAACATCGTATGTGTTCAACATGATCATGTGTTCAACATGGTCATGTGTTCAACATGGTCATGTGTTCAACATGATCATGTGTTCAACATGACCGTACAGAACAAAAATCGGCTATTTCGTGTTTTCAGACAAAATACGCAGTTTTCATTTAAATTGTTAAAAAAAAACTATTCAAAAAGCATGCAAGAAAAAAACACCAAATAATTTTTTGGTTTCGCTGTGACTGGCAACAGAAATTTATAGTACGCACAGACATGCAGAAAACTGGAAAACATTAGAGACCAAGAACTTTTCGGTTGGATGGATCGCTAAGACTTAGCAAAAGTTACTGTATTGCTCATGTGAGACGTGATCAGATAATGTAAATCTTGAAAAGCTGGCCAGCCATTATTAGTCCAAGCAACTGCACGAAATTGTTATAATCCTGACCTCACTGTCTCTGTTAATAGTTAAAACTGTGACATGTAATTATTTCTATGGTATATACATTGAATTCTTATACAATAAATAATGGATTTCCAGATATCTACAAATAACCAGGGTGTTGGATTGGAACACGTTCATGTCACTGCAAGGTTGACCACAAATAACATTTGCGGCTTCATGTATGTTCGAGCCTTCACAAGAAACACCCTTGATTTCATGAAGCATGCACGACTGTGGTTTATCCCAGGGAGCGGTTGCTCGAAAGCCGGTTAGCTTAATCCTTGGTAAACTGTAAGACCAGCAAGTTTTAGTTTCTAAAGTTACAGAACAAACCGACGTGCAGAGGGTGCAAACCAGAACAGCTGGTTTTGGCCTTTGAACAACCGGTCCCAGATGGAGATGTTTAAGTTAAGTACGGCTTTGCTCCTGGTCTTGAAGCTTCTTTTTGCATCTCCATGTCAATTTTGGCATTGATGTTCTCCCAGTTTATCTCAACCTGAAAGACGTTTACAATACATTAATGCATTAAACGTACAAAGTTGTCCTTCAGTAGCATTATATGAATGTTGTGTATTCGAATAAGGCCAAAAGCTACTGTCCAAAGTAAAGCCTAACTTTAGACGGCAAATTTTAATCAGTGCACATATAAATATTTTGCAATTCAGGAGACAGTATTTATAGTTATTTTTCTAAAGAACTCATATTGTCTCTGATGATGTCGTAGACGACGAAAGCTAACTTAAGACACTTTTTTATATTTTTATAGATTTTACAATAAAATTTGCTGTCTAAGTTAGGCTTTAGTTTCGACAGTAGCTTTTGGCCTCACTCGAATACACAACATTAATGCATTACTAAAATGCTTATGCAACTCACATAATAGTTTAATGATTGTATTGTAAAGTAAATTCAAAATGACTAAAATGGCCAAACTATTTTAGCTTGTTTCTTTCTTGAGATATTTAACGATGCTTGTTATGCAAATTATCAGGCACTACGACGTGAAATTTCTTAACATTGATTCAAGTGTCAGAAAGTCATGCAATGTGACGTCATAGTGAGGAATAATTTGAATATCATATAGATTGTTAAATATCTCAAGAATGAAGTGTGAAATGGCGTATTATTATGGCGTGTTCATAAAACACAAAATTTCTTATTTTAGACTTAGTGAGCATGTGTAAAACAAATCTGCCAAATTGAAAAGTTCCCCGTATATTTCTTTGTTGAACTAACTATAGTTGTTTTGTTTGGCAAAGCTTTCGATCAGTAAGCCCGGCTAGTCCAAAACTATGCAGCACCAAAACTATGGAACTGACTTCTTCACCATATTCGCCATTGCGATTGACTATTTGAAACTGCTGATTTGCTAAATAAATATAATTATACTGTGTTGCGACGAGAAAACAAGAAAACTTTACAACAAAATTTTCATCTTTTTTGCTTTATTACTTGTTAGACATTTGCATGTATATCAGATTTCCTCCAGTCTTCCAATGAATATGTATACAGTACTATGCATAAATCTGGGAAACTGTGGAAGAGCAATTTACTGACGATTATAAGTCCGTATAGTACTTACGCCTTGAGCGAATTGAAGAAATCGTTTGTTGTCTTCTTTCTTGCCACAGCTATTCAAATGTTTATTTCGGTACGCAATGACGGTGTCTACATGTGTTTTATGTTTCACGGCAAGTTCAAGCGCTCTAATAAGAGAAGACAACATATTGAAGCAAAATATTGACCTTTTCGTGGCTAAATCAGACTGAATTGGCTGCATTTATCTCCATGAGCTCCTTTAATGTTTTACTCCACAGTGAAGTTCAGACTGATAAGAATAGCGTCTGAGCAAAAACTATCGAAGGAAAGATGGCTGTGATTCTGTGAAGCTCATTAGAATAACAATATAACTCATTATCTATGTTGGTCAACGTTTATTCATAAATCTGGTCCTTCACCGTCACGTATGCCGGGTGCGATAATTCGCGTACCAACGTACCGGAGGTACGCCAAATTTATGGTCTGGTACTTCTTTGTTTTTAGGCAAGTACCACGTAGGTACGCGGAACTTTGCTATTCGCGTACTTATATTTTCCATCTAGCAATAACTAGCAAACCTGCCAAAGTATTCAAAACCGTGAAGAACTTTAGCTGTACATGTAAATTCCACGCATCCGACATATTTTGGGATGAAAAAAGCCAAAAGGTTATCTTTGTATTGTATTGTGAACTTTATTTAGTCACGGTGGACTCATCAGGATTTTACACACTTATGATAAAGTAACAAAGGAAATTAGATATATGATAAATTATACTATACATATTTACAAAACTACCTGTTTTTCATGAGTGCCGTGCATTAAATTGATAAAATTAGATAAAATATTTAAAAATTATTGAATAAAGTTGCGCTTGAATAAAATTGCGCTTGAATAAAATTGCGCTTGATCAAAAAATTTATCGTCATCGTCCGACTGAAAAACAATCGCTCGGGTGAGCGATTTTAAAATCGTTATCGTCAAACGCCGATAATGCCAAAACCATGAAAACAATATTAAAAATTTTTATTTCCGACCTACCTACCCTAATTTTTTCGCAATATGAAACCGGAACCAGTAAACTATAGGTATAAAAACGCATGACTCGAAAGTAGTCTTAGGTACGTCTTGACTCTTAAGTTTGTACCAGACCAGGTACGCGGCAAAAGTTGTCGGAGTACCAGTCAGGTACGGCTAAAAATATTGAATTATCGCACCCTGCGTATGTATTGTATTTTTGCCCAACTAACCAATAGGAATGTTTTACGAAAGTCACCTATCCGTGACTCGAACAATAGGGAAATTGGAAATTGCTATTGGTGGATTTGGTAAAAATACAATACACACGTGACGGTGAAACGACCAGATTTATGAATTTAGATAATGAGTTATATTGTTATTTTAATGAGTTTCACAGCCATCTTCCCTTCGATAGGCTATGGTCTGAGTTATCTATGCTTCGACTACTCTGAACCTGTGTATGCCTTAATTACGTGTAACCTGCGAACATGGTCAACAGAATAAGAAGGTTAGGAAACTCGATGCAGACATACCTCATCTATGTTTTTGTCTTGGTTAATGCAAGAAATGGTCGGTTCATTGTCACGTATGTATTGTTTTTCGCCCAATTACGAACCAATAGCAGTGCGTTGGTATAATTACCCAGTTGTGATATTACACAATGGTTACAACTTACATGAAAACATAGCTATTGGTTGCTCTAGCGAAATACAGTACATGCGTGATAATAACCATTTCTTGTATGAACCAAGACAAAAACAAAGGTAATGAGGTCTATTATGTCTGCATCGAGTTCCCTAACCTTCTTATACTATTCTGCGAATAACAGCCAGGTGCACGTTATTTACATGCTAGGCTTTACTCGATATTACAGCACACGGGCCAACGTTTAATTGTATCATTGTGACATTGTCTATCAGAAATGTGACATTGCCTTTCAGAAAAGCAACTCTTGCAATTTTCCATAAGCTGTAACTGTATATACATCCAGGTACAGTAATTTATTTTAGTATTTTTGCACAAGTGAACATAACAAATCCTACAAGGTGATTGGTCAAATTTGACGTATTAATCTGTTATATTCACCTACAGGTGAATATAACAAAATCGAAATTTTCAAAATGGCGGCTAGCCGTTTTGTTGAAGTTAGTGATAAAGAAATAAGCGAAATTAAAATGAATTCAGACCAGAAAAACACGAAAAAACTTGTGCAAAAATACTAAAACAATTATTCGCCTCAGGCTCGGTGATTATTGGGGAATATTCACCTCGACTTCGTCTCGGCGAATATTCCCTGATAATCACCTCGCCTTCGGCGAATAATTGTTAAATATTGGCAATGACACTATTCTATCGCTGTTATATGTCTCACAACAATTACACTTTTAAACTCAGCAAACATCGTAAAATGATATTCTGTCCCTATTCACTCTTTGAAGCTATCAATCTAACAGTATACTGTTTACAACAACATCAACCTCGTACCCAGACCCCGTGTACGAGGATGCAACAACATATGGAACAGATACATGTGCGCTTGGCGTACCTATTTTTACATATAAAGCATGCAAGGTACGATCATAACTGAGTATCGCAGTTCAGACATAAACGTTCCCAATTTAATTTTATAACCAAAAACTTTAGATAATTGTGATGTCTGAAAATAATGTACATTGTACTGTACTGTTCAAACGGAACCTACTCAAACACCATCCAACAATTTTCAAATAATGTTATATTAAATAGCTTAAATTTTAACAAAGGTTTCAATTTGGATAAATCATGAAAAAGATTTGAAAAATAAAGAGTTTAAATCAAATAATTCAACATTGTTGCATGAGATTGGGCCAACATTGTTGAATTCGTTTGAACTGATCTTTAAGAGTGTTGACTGAGTCGGAAGCAAAGCCGGGAGGCAAATTAATGTAATTGAAGTATTTTTTACCTGTCCCAGTTAAAAAGATCAATATGCATCTGAATGGCTCGGAATATCAAACCAGCTTGCAGTAAAATGACCTCTGCTTCTTGAATTTGTTGACAAAATAGCGCCATGGCGGCATTTCGTCCTTCTTTAGTCGGGATTTCTTTAACATGGTTGATATACTGAACTTTGTCAGCCTACATTACAACAAAAATTCATTTCATGTGAATTAACGTGGATATATGGTACTTTGTCAGCCTATTGTACAACAAAGGTTAATTTAAAACGTTGCCGGGAAATTATGAGGGATTTCACAGTCGAATCTATTTGAATAGTCAGTCAACATTTATTCATGTTATAAAATAAATGGGGAAATATTACAGTATTCTTTGGATTCTGTTGAATTTCTCCTACCAAACTAAAACAGAACGACTGGATTTGGAAATACACGAAAAACTCGACGCACTAAATTTCCAAATTCATCGAGGATTTAAAAAAAGTTATTGCAAATGTCATTTGATTGTTGGCAGACAAGAATTCAATATTGTAGATGGAAATTGTCGAGTGGAAATTTAAATACATTTATTAGACCTAGCCAGGAACAGAAGCGAAAAATACAACTTTAGGTCCCTGACAGGAATCGAACCTGCGACCCTGCGATTCCGGTGCAACGCTCTAACTAAGCAATTGAGCTACAGAGGCAAGTTGTCGAGCTCTAACCACAAGTTCATGTATATATATACTAGAGGACTGCCATGTGTACAGTAGGTTATGTGTAAATATCAAAATTTTGTTGGATTGAATATTAATTGAAGGGTATTGCAGATGGAAATTATCGGGTGGAAATTTATATACAATAACCAGGAATAGAAGCGAAAATGTAACTTCAGGTGATTGCCAGTTGATAATTAATTCCATCTACAATCCCCTTCAACTAATATTCAATTGAGTGAGATGCCAACAAAATGTTGACAAGAATTCAATAAACAGCTTATATACACATGTACAATGCAATCCATGCGAGTCAACGACCAGCAAATATATTTTATATTTTTTTAAATAACCAACACACGGTAAATTGTTTCTGGTGAGGAATTTACATAGGAAACATACCTCGTCAATAGCAGCATAAGCGATCTCAGCCGTGTTTAATTCCTTGCCATAAGCTGCCATTGTTGCAAGACATGCCCAAAGAGTTTTGTCCTGGATCAAGAAATTAAAAAGATTATATACAAAGTCCTATGTAGTGGGGTGAGGCACCTTTCGTGTTGTGTTACCCAACTTGTCATCTTTCTTGCCTTTCAATTAGCCTTACAAAATCACACTTAATAAATGATAATTTATGAGCAGTCTATGCACAGCATAGTGACGGTACATCATTCTATACAGTCGAGATAGAGTACGAGCAAGTTATGAAGATAATATCCTCACCTTAACAAATCTACAGAGACGAACAGCATCTGGCCACTTCGATTCAGTGGTATATTTATGTAACATCATAGGATAAGGTGAGATACTGTAGAATCAATAAAATAATTTCGTAAACTACTCAAAATATAGTGCACAAAGATATGTGCAAGGGATTTGGTAGATGGAAATTTCGAAGGTAGATTGTATATTCAGACTAACCAGAAACAGCTGTGATAACTGCAACACTGCAGTAGGTCAGGTCTGCCAGATGACTTACGCCTGTATTCTAAAGCTCACTCACACTCACTCACACTCACATTTACACTCACTCACACTCACATTTACACTCACACTCACACTCTATGAGTGGAAGTTCCATCTGAGCTTCTGTTGAGTGTCAATGCTGTTTTTGAATAACTGGAGGGTGAGTAGTCGACGTAGGGACGACACTATTCAAAAACAGCATTGACACTCAAGAGAAGCTCAGATTGAACTTCCACTCATTGAGTGTGAGCTTTTAGAATACGGGTGTTATAGGTGCATTTTTCACAGTTTCCTGGTTAGGTCTGAATATTGTATACAATCTACAGCTCCAGATTTCCATCTATAAAAACCTTAGCAATATGCCCAAAATCGTGATACAAAGAAATTTCTAGGTCTATCCAGGAAACAACTTAGGCGAAACCACAGGAAACAACTTTGGTTGTTGGAAACTTGTTGCATACTTACACAGTACTGCATAATGATCCATCAGCTCGTCTCATTGAACAAACATTGCCGAGGAAACTAGCAATGTGAGGATTCTTGCCAAAATCACTAGAGCCGAATAGAGATAAAAATAATTGATAAATATACGATGTACAGAACGTAATAAAATTTGTGCACACTTGTGGGTATAGTCACACATTGCTGAGTACAAAATCTCATAATATCTTCAGTTTGTGCTCCTGTGAATGATGAATATACAGTGTGTATAAAAAAGAACTGAACAGATTTGAAATTGCTCTCAATTTCGCAAAACTCGTGGTATCAAGTTTTTGTTATAATATATAGATTCCTTGAGTACCCATAATGTGAAGAATAATGAAAAAAAATACTCGAACTCAAATTTTGTAAACCAGGGGGTGTTTCTTTTCCAACGAACGGGCATACTCTGGGAGTCTGGGTACGAGATTGCTGCAATATGCAAATTAGGCAAATGCATTAATTAAGCATGCAAAAGGCGATTTTTTAGGAAACTGAAGCAAATTGTCTGAAATTTCGTGCAGCAATTAAACACCAAACACATGTTTCACCCATTAACTCAAAATACGATTAAAGCTTTTAAATCTCGTGTGCAAGCCATTTTTAGTTTGTTGGAAAAGACACACCCCTCTGGTTTGCAAAATTTGAGTTTGAAAATTTTTTTTCATTATTCTACATTATAAGTACGCAAAGAAGCTATATATATCAAAAACTGGATACTAATAGCTGTACGGGACGCCATGAAAATACAGTCGCTCGGCTAGCAGTTCATAGTAGTTCATAGTTTATACATTAGTTAAAGGTATAAAGCTTAAGACTGTTTCACGCCGTTTTCGCCGATTGGTTGGCGGAAAAATTCGCCGCGGAAATGTAGGAAACGATCCTACCACAATGCCCAAATTTGTGTTTGGCTTCACTTCGCGAGAACAAATTCGCCTAAAGGAAAATGGGTTTTACGCTACCGCGGTGTATGTGCACTGCTGACGCAAAATATTCATTTTGTTATACATTTTAATATTCACTAAACCGTGAGACGCGGTTTTTGACAATCAGTTACTTCTTGGCAATACATTTTTTTACGAAAATGTACCACTCGTGAAATGAGACGACAAAATATTTTCCCAAAAATTAACTAATGCAAAAACTAACTGCGTCTTTCTTGTATTTTGTGTGCTGTATGCAAATCAGCCTTACAGGTTGTAGAAATCAACACTACATGTTGATGTGGTCGGGATAGCTAAATGGAAACGAGATTTTTGTAATATTATAATTTTGTAACTTGAACATTTCCTTGACATTGAAAACATGCAAGATAATTACCTAGAGTCTTTGGTTATTAATGTCTCATTCAAACTATCTTGATCAACAAGAACAGCTTCAGGATAACACCATACAGTAAAGACGCCATCTTGAAATGCAGCTAACATGTTTGACGAATCATTCCACGACATTGACGTCACCATGGTTCCTGTTCAGGAAATATTTTAAAACATAATTCTTAAAACAGACATTCTTTATGGTTTTTCAAAACTGAAGATTAGCTCGTGGGAAAAGTATATAAACCGCATAAACAGAATCTCAGATTAATATTGACTACAGTATGTGTAAACTATAGTAGATTAAACGGCACACAATATTGAACACACAAGGGTAATGGTAGTGGTACTGTGGTTTTTACACGAAGTTTGATTCCAGCAGCTTTTATGCACGTAATTCTCATTTCACCTTCCACATGTTTTCCCTTGGTAATGGACTTATTCCCTAATGAACAAAATTTTGATCTAGACAAGTCTAGACAAAAATTTTATCACGGCTTGAAAGAGCATCACAAAATTAGTAATATTCCGAAGTTTCGTTGCGAATTGTTGTAAAATGTGGATAATATAGCAATGCGAAGTTTACCGTTTTTCAGTCATTTTGTATTACGCACGGGAAATTGATAACTTTTTTTCAGAAAGCGGTATCAATTTCCCGTGCGTAAAACAAAATGACTGAAAAACGGCAAACTTCGCAGTGCTACATATATTATCCGCAATTTTGTGATGCTCTTTCAAGCTGTGGTGAAATACTGAAATGTTTGTCCAGACTTGTCTAGATCAAAATTTTGTTCATTAGGGAATAGGTCCATTCAGTTTGCTCCTACTGTATAGTGACACTGGACAAATAAGGGATGCCCTTACTGGTATCAACCCTGGGAACGAGGTTGTACTGGTATCCGCTATGAATAAAGTTAGTTTACTTTTAGTGGATTTTCTCCTGTATACTAACACTGGGCCAGTATGGTCTTGTCATTACTGAACCTCTAGAGTGATAGAGCTACCTAATATAACTAGAGATTGCAGTTTATTAAAAAGACTAACCCAGCTTCGCTCTTCTTGGTGCAGAGCCAAAACGTTGTACTGCGGTGATAAAGAGATCACGATTCTTATCAATTAACGCAAGTTGACGATTGTTGATTGGTCCAAATTGGTTCACAGCAATTTCCAGGACTTCGTGCTAACCAAAGAACAAAACGGTGAGTTAAATAATGAATAAAATCAATGATAATAAATGCCGCATGAATATATCAACACACCTATAACAGAGACAACCTCCTACCATGGAGGTTCTATATTTTCCTTTCCAAATATCAAACAAAATAGTTTCCAAGTATTGTGCAGGCCAAGTATTGTGCACGCCAAACTGCGAAGAGTTTGGATGGGTAGAAAAGGGCGTGGGAACTGACAGACAGAAAGACAATTACCGAAAGAGACAATTTATGCACATATTACTGCACAGGATTAAAAACTACTCAGAAGACTCGTGGGTTGATTTTGATGTAGGTCCGTTTTCAGGCTAACTTAAATGCTAACACAATTACCGAATGTTGGACAGGCTTCCCATCGCCCATTGGTTTTCCAGATGCTGTTTCAAACACATGGATTGCTAAAATTTAAGAAAGATCGTTAATACATTTCACACATAAATTAAATGTCTTATTGCGGCAATGCCTTCATTCAAATGGCCCACCTTATTCACCTAAATATCAGGAGAAATTAAGTGGCAGTCCCGCTAAGAGCGGTCCGATGACTTTGACTTCGGAAAATAGATTTCCTTTATTTTTTGTGTGTTGAAAAGCATTGGTATACAAGTGTCCAAAATAAATTTATTTTTTGAAAATTCTTTTTTATGGCTTTGCTAGACGCCGAAACTCATTTTACCCGTGCAGAGCCAATTTCAAGCAAAATCGAAGGTTGAATTTCGGTAAATTGTAGAGCCGCGCTGTGTCAAAACGCCTGACTATTTCCAAATTTCAACTAGATCAACAAGTTAAGATACAATTCAGGTTCCCTGTTCCAAAAAATAAGAGCATTTGAATAAATTGTGAATAAACGACAGCGACTTGACGGCACACCGGTTTTTCCTTCTTGTTCGGTCTACAAAATTACACTAAAATCGAAGCCTGAGATCTCCAAATGGGGACCTAAAATTACGCTGAAATGTGCTTGGCTGTAATGATTTATACTTATTTTCAGAAGATCTGAAGAAAAACCTGCGGGTATCAATCTGCATTTGGCGCGAGTTAAGATTTTCTGGAGCCCATAATCAATGATTTTTGCATAATTTATAGCTAA